GAATATGTGAAAATGAAGGAAATATCAAGGAACCACAAAAAAATATAGAACTGAACGTTTCCAACACAAATGATACGAAAACTAATGCAGAAAGCAAATTGACAATTAATATTACTAATAGCTCAAATTTTTCATTAAGGTAGTATTACACTTTTCAAGCAGTAAAAAACGGGTTTAGAAAAAAATTTTTTTCTCGCTTCTTAATTTATTTAAAGGAACAAATTTTTTTTTTATAACATTATATGGCATTAAAACTTTTATAATAAATAAAATAAAATTTTTTTATTATCTCTCTTTGGTCACTAGAGGGCCTTAAAGTCAAGGCAAAAAAAAAATTTGGGCAATCGGCGGACAGGCTACAGCCTCTCAGGGACATCGGATCTGAAAAAACAAAAAACCGTTTTGAAGCTGAGACATGTCATTAAGCATCCCCCCTAACCCCGATAAAAAATATTGAAAATTAACGAAATGGCAGCCATTTAAAAAAAAAATGTCAAAAATTAGGTCTTTTTTGGTTAGTTTTTGGATTGTAGCTAAAATCCAAAAAGAAATAGATAATTGGATTTAGGGGGGATGCTTAAAGAATTTAATTACGAAAAAAATGATATTTTTTTCAAAAAAATTAGTTCATTAGAACTCGAGTTATGCTGTCCGCCAGTTTCAAAAACAACGTTTCGAGAAAAACTCGATTAAGGCCCTCTAGTGACCAAAGAGAGATAATAAAAAAATTTTATTTTATTTATTATAAAAGTTTTAATGCCATATAATGTTATAAAAAAAAATTTGTTCCTTTAAATAAATTAAGAAGCGAGAAAAAATTTTTTTTCTAAACCCGTTTTTTACTGCTTGAAAAGTGTAATACTACCTTAAATATTAATAAGTAAATTAAACAAAAGTATTGATCAGATTTTAATTAATTCAATGTAATTTTTTAAATTAGTCATAATTTAAACCAAAAACATAATTTAATCTCAATGTAGTCGCCTTCGGCTCGGGCACTCGCTACGTCTCGAACTGCAAACTAAACTCGCGGAAAAAGTGCTACTTTATCTGACCAAAACAGGCACAAAAAAGACACTTTTTCATGTCAATGGCGAAAAAAAAAATTTTCTTTATACGTGCATGTAAAAACCTCGTTTGGCAACCACTTTCAGCTATCCAAAATAGTCGAATCCCTCACTGTACGCGCGGACGATGAGCAAAGTATTTTGCTCACCGTTAAGCGGTGGCCAAAACATTTTGCTCATCGTCCGCGCGCACAATGAGGGAGTCGGCCATTTTGAATAGCTGCAAGTAGCTGTCAAACGAGGTTATGCCTGCACTTATAAAGAAAAATATGGTTCGATACTCGTTGCCTCACGAGCGTATGCCCATTACTCGTGTAATGAGCAAAACGCTCGTTTGGCCCCTTGTATCGAAATATACTATTTATTTGAAAATTAATAAAAACAAATTTTAACTTTCACAAAACAACAAAATTAGTACTTTTTAAAATAAAAATGCAGTTTCTGTTAACCTATAATAAAAATTAAGTCATAAATTTTTTTTTACAATCAGAAATTTCTAAAATAATTTTTAGAATTTTTTGCACATATTCTGCAATTTTTTTTAAGCAAATTGATTTTTCTTTTAAAAAATTATAAAAAAATTAATATTTGATCGACAAATTTTTTAAAATTCAAAAAATTCACTTAAAACATCTTATTTTCGGGTTATTCGGGTCGCTGATAACGAATTTGGTGTCAGATTTAAAAAAATTCAAAATGGCGGATCCAATATGGCGGAAGAATTTTTGAAAATCAAATGTAATTCGGTTAAAACTTCTTACTCGGGGGTTTTCTGGGTCGCTGATTACAAATCCGTTGTCCGTTTTTAAAATTCAAAATGGCAGATCCAATATGGCGGACGAATTTTAGAAAATCAGTGACCTTGAAAACCCCCGAGTAAGAAGTTTTAAGTGAATTGCATTTGATTGTAGAATGTAAAAATTCTTTTGCTTTTCTTTTTTAAAATATTATTTTATACATTTGGGTTGAATTTATTATTAGAATATCCAATATTGATCGAACGCGTCAATAAAGTTCTGAAACTCTCAAGAAGATGTAATAATCTTACGCTTTTTTCAAAATGATTTAAAAAACGCAAAAACATTGCGATTTAGATTTTGGCAATCTTTACTTAGGTAACTACGAAAGCTTTTTTTTAATAATTATTAATTATACAGTAAAAAATAGATCAATTTTTTCAGCGAAAATCGAGTTTTTGGGTTTCAAGTGCTCGAAAAACATCTCCTTTAACAGAAATTTTTTTTTTTATTTAGATGATTCTGTTGCGAGTTACGTTGAACATTGCAAATTCATTTTTTACGAGGCGCCTGAAGAGATTTACTACCACTCGTTCAATTTGTAATATTTTTCAATGAGAATTAAAGAAAATATACTTCAAATATTGTTTTAATATGTGGAAATTAAGGTAATAAAGTAACACACTTTATATCACCGAAAAAAATTATTAAAAAAGTGCCTTTTTTACACCGAATTAACCATACCCCCCCCCCTTAAATACTTGAGTCCTTAAGAGAAAATTACAGTGATTTTTTCAAAATTACTTGAAAATTATCTTTTAGAAGTCAAAAAAGGATCTATAATGTATGGAGTTGGAATCGCACAGTGGTCTGAAACCCGAATCTAGCTGGACAAAACTGTTTTCTCCAAATTGCTTCGCTGAATTTGTATGAAACTTGTTACTCGGTGGTTTTTGTGGTCACTGAATACGAATCTGAGGTCAATTTTTGAAAATTCAAAATGGCAGGTCCAATATGGCGGACAGAAAGGTTAAAAAATTAATAGATTCTAATCCAATATGCAGACATAAAGTTTAAAAAATTAACGGATTCTAATGAAACTTGTTACTAGGGGGTTTTTAGGGTCGCTGATTATGAACCTGAGGTCAGTTTTTAAAAGTTCAAAATGGCGAAACCATCATAAGTTAAGATGTTTGAAATGAGTTGATGAAAATTTCATGTAATTTTCGAAAACTTAAAATAGTGGACAATTTTAATTAATTTTTATAAGTTTCATTTTAAAAATGTTCAGGGTCATTATTTACTATTCCAAAAATAAATTTTAACAACTGAAACAGGTTTGATTTAATATATCAAATTTGTTTCGAATAATTATTTTATATGTGAACATTAATTTTTTAAACTCACTGTCCGCCATATTGGATCCGCTATTTAAAATTTTTGAAAACTGACTTCAAATTCGTAATCAGCGACCCGAAAAACCCTCTAGTAATAAGTTTAATTAGAATCCGTTAATTTTTTTAACTTTCTGTCCGCCATTTTGAATTTTAAAAAACTGACTTTTGATTCGTAATTATTGGCTCTAATAACTCTTACACAGTAATCAATGTGAGTCTTTAAATGTATTATGGAATGTTAGTAAACATTTTTGAAATTTTTCAGCGTTTTTCTCCATTTTGCGTCACTTAATTGAAGTTTCAGAACAAAGTTGCAAATAGTGGCAGCTAAATTTGCATTTACAAGATTCTGTAACTATTTACCTTCATTTTTATCATGGGTAGAAAGTGGAGAAACATGGAGTACAAAACTTATTGAATTATTACGATAAAATAATTTATCGCTTGCATCGATTTTGTCTGAATTCTTGGCAGGATTAAAAATAATTATCCAAACCAATTAAATCGACTTAAAATAGAAATTCGTAATGTATATATACTTCTAGGATCAACCTCCATATTACACAAATGTCAAAAAAAAAATTCCAAACAAAAGTAGTGGGCACTTCAACAGAAGTCAATTTTTCTTTGCTTTATAAATTTTTTCCTGCTGTGCTGACATGTCCATTTTGACGTTCTGTTTCAACGAAACTATGCATTTTAGTGACTTGTCCTTTTTATACTGAATGCACCAAATACCCAACTAACTAATCTTCAAGTGAAACTTGCAATTTTTAAACTTTTTTTTGAGGTTTTGTCCAGCTAAATCAGGGTTTCAGACCACTGTGTATCGCCGATTGAGTAAGAATCACTTTTTTGTTTAATTTCTACTTAAAAAACTTTAAACGCGTTTTTCTCGAACTGCATATTTTTAACATTGTCATATTTTTATTATAAAACTATTCAACCATTTAACTTCAAATTTGGACTGTATGTTTCTTGCATATGTAGTTTTCGTGTAAACTAGGATTTTTAAAAAAAGTTATAAACAATTTAAGTTGCAAAATTCTTGTCGAAAAATTAAAAAAGGCTGACAATCGTTTTTTTCAATAAATATTTCTGATTCCAGTTTACACGTTAGTCAAAATAGTACAGATTAAGAAAAATTTTGGTTTTTTCATTTCAGATTAACTGTTCCAGAGAAAAAGTGTGACAAACTTTCAAAGTGTACCACCATCAGCAGCCATTTTTTAATAGATTATTTTTGAAAAAATTGTTTTTGACTCTTTAAGATGTATATTTTATTATAAAAAAATTGTAACTAATAAATATTTCTTTTACTAGAAAGAACCATCATTAATTCAACCAAATCTTATTTAAATGAATTATTGTCAGTTAAAAGGGATGTAACAAAATATATAAACCATTAAAAATATTGCGAAAAAATTAAAACTCTTAAAGCAGTTGTAAAAAAGATCAAAATTTTACTTGATACTTTTTCGCAACAAAAATAAAAAAGCTTTATTATTGACAGGACACCATTTTCAATAAAAAATAATTAAACAATAAATCATTTATAAGATTTGTATGTCTTTGGTTATAAAATATCAGAGCTTGAAGTTGAAAAAAAGTCAGTGCATTTAGGTGTTGATGGGTTAAGTAGGGGGGAAACTTTGTAATTTATGGCAATAATTTGAACTACTATACGAACGAAATTTTTTGTGTTTAGTTAAATATCAATTTTTTTATGAGTAAAAAAATAACTTTCAAATTTTACTGTTATTTAAAAGTTCGTTTTTGAAAGCTTTTTTATTTTACAGTATGTTAGATTCTTCTCGACATGAATTACTAGCAGAAGCAATGAAAGCTGGTACACCTTTTGCTTTGTGGAATGGACCAACAATAGTAGCTTGGTTAGAACTTTGGGTTGGGATGCCTGCTTGGTACGTTGCAGCTTGCCGAGCTAATGTCAAAAGTGGAGCAATCATGAGTGCATTAAGCGATACGGAAATACAGCGGGAAATTGGAATCAGGTAAATATTGTAGTAGGAGAGAAGGTTTGGTTGTTTTTCACTCATAATTTGTGCCTAAGTTGATATTCTGTGATAATATGCATATTAATGGATAGCTAGAAAGACATTAGCGTTCATAAAAAATAAAATATTGGTTTGGTTATGGACACCCTTTAAAAATCCGCTAAAAATATTAAAAAATAAATTAAAACCACCTCATATGAGGCAAAATTCCTGAAATATCCGAACAAAAAATTAAAAGTTCTCGAATTTAATCCATACTTTTCTAAAATGTTGTTATTGTTGGTGAAAGTCTAAAAATAAATTATTATTGAATTTAATAAAATAGTTTTTGAATTACAACGTTTTTAATTTTTGACTTTTGAAAAAAAAAATTTTTTTCAATGTACAATATTTATAAGTAGAATGCATGAAAGTTAACATATATATAATGATTTTTAAAGCTTTTTTGATGGGCTACACGCTGTTAATAAATTTTTTTTTTTTAAATAACATTTGACCTTGAAATTCAAGGTCAAAATGTTAATTTACGTTTATCTCAAAATCAGATTTTTTAAAATTATTTTTAACTATCTCAATGGAAAGCTTGATTAATTTCCTACAAAACATGTAATTTTCAGAGTGGGATCTTTTAAAGTGTTTGAGATATTAATTAATTAATTAATTAATGTTTAAAACAAATCAAATATTTTACAAACGAATAAAGTTACCGTAATTCTGAAGTTAGTAATTGAAAGTTAACGTAATTCCGCATCCAACGAGCCCTATATGAAGTATTTTGGATAAGTAGATTGTTAATAAACAATTAGTTAACATTGCAATTGTTTATTAACAATCTACTTATCCAAAATACTTCATATAGATACCAAGATTTTTCATTCATAAATCATCTTTTCATTAAAGTTTTTTATTGGAAATGTGTTTTAATTACTTTTATAATTATCAAAAAGTATAAAAATTAATTCACGGAAGTATTTCATAAAATATTCAAATATGGAATTCCCATTTTAATACTATTATTATTTTTCTATTAAAATAATAAATTTGTAAAAATAGTGCAAATTCCTTCAAAATAAATTTTATTTACTAACTAATTTATTTTATAAAACAAATTATTCAGTTGACAACAAATTTTCATAAAACATCCCATAAAAATCTGTATTGTGGAGAAAGGTATGGTAACATATCTTTTAAATCGTTAACTTTTTCTGGTTTAATCTGAAGAGGTTTCGAATATGCAAATGGTAGAACACGTGGAATATAAATTTTTCGCTTTAGTTGCCCATTCTGTAAGACTGGTACTATGCGATGAATTTTCCAAGGCTTCGTAATACCGTGTGATTCTCTGGCATAAATACTGTTCGGATCATTTTTTCTCAGCTGCAACCACGCAACTTGCGTAACTTTCAATTGACAACTTTTTTTAATGCTATCCGCAAGTGCGCTGAAATCAAAAAAATCTTCCTGTTCCACTACAGTTACTTCAAATGGCTTTGACGAACGAGCATTAGCGATTATTTGTACTAGTTGTGATGGAACTAGAGCAGTTTATTTCTTCACCATTCTTTGAATGAGAGGAAAATCACGATCGCAAGGTTAGAATGAATGACCTGACACCATAAATTTTTGTTCAACTGATGTGAAATAGCGTTCATGAATTAAATAGAACAATAAAGATATGGTTGTCCAATTGTTGTTTTGACCAACACATCTATCAGACCAAATGATTAATTTTCTTTCATCATTTTCCTTCAGCTTTTGAAAACTTTGTTTGATGTATTGTAAAATGCAGGATGAAATGTCTGAAGCGCCCCTTTTTGCAATTCCTTCGTGCCATAAAAACATTTGCGCATGATTTGTGGAAGGATTATGAACTGCGAAATTGTAACAGGACAATTGCCTTTGATAGAAAATGCTTGAATGTGTCAACACATGTAAAAACATTACTTGTTGCAAATACACGCATAAAACTACCGTATTCGGATTTACTTTACCATTTTCTCCATCTTCTTTTAGTGAGGCGTATCCACTTTCCGCTTTTAAATGATGAGCTTTACTTGTCTCTTCGATTTTTTTCTTATTTCTTCGTTTTCAGCAGCTAATAATTTTATGTATAAACTGTCACAGGTTTTACAAGTATCAGATCTAGGCTGACCAATCTTCAAATTAAAATCATTATGAAAAACTTCTCTGTAAAGCCAAAATTTAACTTCGGATTCTGGGTACTTTTCTTGAAATAAACGAAACATTTTTTTCAAAGTCAATGAAGAATGTAAATACATTCGATTTTCGGATGAAGTTTTGTTTCGGTTATAAATATTTTCCATTTGTAGAAAGGACTTGATTGTGGTCTCGAACAATTTGTCGAATTTCTTCAGTTATGCTGTGTGGTCTATTCAAATGTTTTCCTCTTTCGTCTTCAGGATGCAGTTTACCATCTTTCATTTTCTTTTGAAGATTTTGTATTCGCTTGTGTGATACAACATAAATATCACACAGAGTTTTCTGACAAATTTTTTCACTTTGACCATTAGATAAACGGATTGTCTAATTAAAAGTATTCGATCGACGAGATGTTGATTCCACAGATTCTGTTTCTTAATTTTTTGCAGTCTTCTTTGGGACCAAAATCATACAAGAAAGAAGTATGGCCGATTGAGTGTTATAATCACAGGCAATAAATTTTTGAAACAATTCTTCTTTTGAATTTTTAGTTAATAACGCACATCCGTTATAATTGTATTTACAAACGCGATCCTGTAATATAGAAAATCTCCGTTTCAAAATAGTAATTTGCAACAAATTACTATAATTATTGTTTTAAAAGATTTTTTTTACAATAATATTAAAATTAATAAAATATTAGGTTTAAATACTAAATTCAATTTTTAATAAAAAATAATTAAAAATTTTACATTTGATTGATACAGTAGATAAATTTGTTAGTTCTCAAAAAAAAAAATAATAATAATGACGACAAATTTATTTTGTAGATAGATCCCTCTTCCACAATGTGGTTACTTACACAATTAGAACTAATTTTCTCATTTTTCAGTACTCCTTTTCGAGGTTCATATGCTTTTCCTGCATCTTTGAGTTTTTTTCTTTTGTTGTCCTTCCATTCATAAGGTTTACTTTTTCTTTTTCTAGACATTTCTGATATTTTAATGAGTCGATTAATTATAACCTATTGAAAAACAATTGACAGTCGAAATCCGATAGATCCTTCTTCCACGATAGCCAATTTTTAATTATAATGTTCACTATTATAATATAATTATACATTTTTTATTCCAGAATTCGAAAGAGCATATTAAATATATCCTACTTTTCTATACAGTTAAAATTCGATAAAAAATGAGTTAGATCCCTCTTCGACTCGCGGCTTCATATATAAAATATAAATTAATAAAAATGAATAAAATACGATTTATTAAAAAGACTGTTTAATGATACAAATTTGAAGAGTAGACTGTTCTCTGCAACGTCTTAGGCATAGGCGTAGCTAGGTAGGGGCCCGGGGGGCACGGTCCCCTCGAATTTTTCCAGCCCCCCCTGAAAAATGAACATATTTATGAGCAATTTTTTTTATTACTTGTCCAACTTCGGTGAAATTACATATCAGTGTATATAAGTGCTACGATTGAAAGTCACTTTCTATAACACTGCCCTGAAAATTTCAAATTTTTTTCTGCGAATAACATGGGACATAGTGTTTCCGAACGGATTTTTTGTGTTGAACACGAATCCAAGGTCGAAAACTTCCCATCACGTCACGTTTTCGAGAAAATAGGGGTTGAAACACCTAAAAACAGGGTTTTTGGCCATTTTTGAAAAATTATACAGCGTAAACCTGACGTGGTACAAACTTTGCTGATATCAGAAATTAAAGGTTGGTTCATGCCCTTTCAAACGAGCCCTATTCGAAATTGATCGCACTCACCCTTAGAACAGGGGGAGTGTTTTGTCTAGCGGTGCACGAAAAAATGTAAACATAACATAAAAATTCGGGGTCGCTGATTACGAATCTGAAGTCAGATTTCAAAAATTTAAAGTGGCTTATCCAATATGGCGGATGTCAAAATAAAAATTTGATCCCATTCACTTGAAAATGGTCACTCGGGGGTTTTTGGGGTCGCTGATTACGAATTTCGAGTCAGATTTCAAAAATTGAATTGGTTTGATTTAATTTGACATGCAAGTTTAATAAAATTAAAAACATTATGCATTTTATTATTTGTAAAAAGTCGGAATAACTCAAAATGTAGTAATGAAATGACGGTAGAAGTAAATGATATAAAGAGAATCACCACTGTATAGAGTATATAGCTTCATGAATAGAGCAGGATAGAGTTAGTGATTTATTATTCGCCGATTGGATCATTTTTTGCTTTTTCTCTGGGAAGCAGAATTTAAAATATTCTGTAGCTAGATGATCTTAACATATATTTTTAATTTTGACATCCGCCATATTGGATCCGCCATTTTGAATTTTTGAAATATGACTTTAGAATCGTTGTCAGCGACCCCAACCTTTTAAAAATCCCTGTACAAGATTTTGTGCAAAAAAATGTACATGTTCAGCAGCTGAATTTGTACTTGTTCTTGTACATACTCTTGTGCAGGTTTATGTACAAGTGAAACACATGAAACCGTTCATCTGTGGCTGCTTCTGCAATAACTTACTTTTTTTTGGGATGTGTGGACACGAACAGAACGCACTGTCACAATAATTGACAAATCCCAATTGGCGAGGACATCCACTAGATGTCTCAAAGACATCCTTTTCGGAACGTTCTTGGGACATTGTTAAAAAGACGTTCTAAAGATATCCTTAGGACATCCCAAAAATGTCCCTAAAAGGCATCCTATAGATGTCAAAAAGAATGAAATAAAGACGTCCTAAACAAGTTCTATATCTGGCCTAGAGCAGTTACAAAAATATTCTTAAGAAACATTAAAGATATTTTTGAAAATTATGGAAAAAATTTGAAACTTTT